GTTGCACTAGAAACACCATCACAGGGGTGGGGAGTGGGGGGGGTTGGTTGGTCATGTCATGCAGTCTCTATTACACATCTCTATTGATAGCGTCCAGCAGGAGAGAGGGCCAACAGCTGGGGCCCTTGGCCCACCGGGGCCACGTCTGACCTCAGACCGGCGTGGTTCGTCTGTTGGCTTGGTTGTTGTGCAAAGAGTCCTTGAACTCTTTGGGGAGGGAGTTGTGGATCTGTAGGAACCCGTGGTCCCTCTCCGAGTTGAGCAGCGTCCCGATCGTCACCTTGGAGGGGTCTCGCGAGAGGGTGAACATGGAGATGTCGGTGGAAGGGATGGCGCCGAAGCCCTTGCCAATGGGAGACAGGTCCCTCGAGCGCGGCTCCGTGGAGCGGGAGCTGGATCTCCGCCGGAACCGGTACCGGTAGGTGGGCAGGCGGGCGAAAGTGGACTTCTTCAGCAGAGCCACCGAGTGGGACTTGGCCCGCATCTGGCGGTGCTTCTCAATGTACATGTGGACGGCGATGACCCCCACCATCTCCGCAATGATAAAGGATAAGGCCCCGAAGTAGAAGGACCAGCCGTAGGAGTAACTTTTCTTGGAGTCGCTCTGTCCAGGGTCGCCAGCATTTGCCGAGATGTAAACTATAATCCCAATGATGTTGCTGAGCCCTGAAAGGGGGAAAAAGGTTCTGAACTGAGTTTGCTGAACCCACCTGGTCCCTCTTTTGATCCAGGTGAGAGGTAAGGGAGCCCTAATTCTGAGTGTGCAAACACACCAAAGTGTGTTAAAACTTTAAGAGGAATTCTGAGGTTCCAGCCCAACTTGGAAGTTGTGGAAGCGACAGGAACCAAGCAGGCAAGACTGAGGTTGGTTCACCTACACCTTTCAGTCTCTCCAGTCTTCCTGCTTCTCAGTTTCCAGAAGAGAATACCCAAGGGCCAGGGCGCTTTTATACATCTGCAGCTGCAAAACTAACACCCCCAGCCAACATCACACCAACACCATCCCTAAATCCAGCTCAGCAAAAGAGTTTTATCTGCGGCAGAAGGAGAGTTTGAGTATAGACACCCACCCATTTCTCCCAGGAACCATCTGGTGCAGATACAAAAGTGTGGGAAATTAAAGCACAGGGGCTGTAGCAAGTAACCTGAACTGGTGCCTGTGTGACAGACAGACCGATAGATAGCTAAGATACCCAGGTGGGCTGGAGCACCTTCCCGCTCCTGGCTTTTGTAACTCACCACCTGTTTGCTATCTAAATTGTTGTTGTTCTCAGGCTCACCTTCCCTCCTACCATCTCTTGGAAATCAGCGTTGCTTCTGTCTTCCTCTGTTAGGGAGAGATAGCTGCACACGGAGCTCTCCTCCATGCAGGCAAGAAACGTGTTTGCACGCATAAGCCAAGCTGCAACAAGGACTCTTGCAAAGTGCATGTCTCTTCCACCATTGGGGTGTGTGTGTGTGTGTGGGGGGGGGGAGCCTGTTACTTCTTTCTCACTTCCTCCTGGGGAGCATAGACAGGTTCCCAGGTCTAGCTCCATTGCCTCAGCTACCAATGGCTATGGGGGGGGGCACCCAGCCATGTTCTGGCTGCTTTTCTGCACCTGGAGAAGGATGGGGTGCCAGCATAAGCATGGCTCAGCCAACAGAGGTTTGGGCCTTGCATTGGCTGATCTGAATTTGTTCTGGTTTTGAATAGTTTGGAGTTGCATTTTTGAGTGATACTGGTTGTGTAGTATAAATGCCCCCCATGTGGGGTTGTGCATGGATGGTGCCACACTGCTCTTGTGCTGCATGGCTGCATTGCACAACAGAGCAAACGTGCGTATCCGTGTGCCTGCACAATAGCTTGTTGTTGCTGTGTCCCTTCAAGTCATTTCTGACTTATGGCTACTCTGTCACGGGGTTTTCTGGGGCTGAGGGAGCGTGACTAACCCAAGGTCACCCAGTGGCTTTCCAGGCCAAACAGGGAATTGAACCCTGATCTCCAGAGCTGTAGCCCAACCCTCAAACCACTGCGCTACACTGGCTCTCATGGCTGGCACAACGCTGGCATAATGGCACCTATGGCAGCCCCCCTTCTGTGATTTGAACTGAAGGTAGACGTTCTGCTCCATCAGACAAAATTGTCCAGCAAATGTAGACACGCATAACAAGGTTCTTTATGATTTTTAACACCTTTGCCTGATGAAGAAGAAGCCAGTGGAGCTTCGAAAGCTTGCAACATGTGTAATGTGCATTTTGGTTGACCCAATAAAAGTACTGTATAACTATTTTGTGGATTTTGGATGATACTGTACTTTGCTTTATGGCCAACACGGCTACCCCTGGACAGGTTCTGACTGTCATTGTTATTAGCTATAGTTTGCATATTTTTTTTAAAAAAATGATGAGATTAGATGTCTGGTTTAGGACTGTCCCCAGCACTTTTGAATTGTTCTGCAAACTTCCCTCAGTCTCCTTGCACAGAAAAGTGAGACGTACATTCTTGGAAAGAAATGGTTCCCAAAGCATGCTTTTTAATACCCCAGACTCTAGATTTATTCCAATAGCAATGTTTCAGCAGCAGCAGCAGCAGCAGCAGCAGCAGAAGAAGAAGAAGAAGAAGAAGAAGAAGAAGAAGAAGAAGAAGAAGGGACTCACCTGCCGATACAAAGAAGATCCCTGCGCTCAGGATGACATTGAGTTTGCTCTTATAGAACTCGCTGGCAGCCACGCAGAGGCCTCCGAAGAAGAGAAGACCAACACTTAAGATGGGGAAGATACTAGATGCTCTCACTGCACCTGGACGAGAGGGGAAGCAGCCCTCGTTACGTGAGACAAGGCGGGTTGGAAGGCATCTGCACTTCAGAGTTACAACACTTCAAGCCCCCGTTCCATCCCACTGAATCCTGGGATCTGTCGTCGGAGATTCCCTTCTGGTAAAACTCTAATGCAGGGATGGGAACCATGCAGGCCACAAGATGTTGTTGGGCTGCCATTCCTCTCATCCTTTAGCTATGCAAGCTAGGGCTGATGGGAGTTGCAGCTCAACAACAAGTGGAGGGGGGTATGATTGTTACATGGAACTAAATGATCTCTGCAGGACGATAGTTCCCAAACTACACTGAGAAGAGGGGTTTGGATCAAATCAGGTTTGGCAGAGTACAATGAGGAGTGAATCCACCCCAAATTTTGGACCTAGCTCTAAAAGTGTTATCCAAGGTTCTGAATATAGTTTGGAGGAGGAATCCAGCACCTTGGATAGCAATTTCAGACCACAAACTGAAGCCCCACTGACCTGGAACATGGAACATGAACCAATAACAGAATCCCCCTGCGGCTTCTCTGTAGATTTCCCTTCGCTATTTGTCATTATTCGCTGCCACGTTTACCTGAGTTTATGGAGAGCCTGCAAACAGAGGACTGGGGATCCTGTAATTACTGGCTGCAATGGCTTCCCTTGCAATGGCCTTTGGCCTCCCTCCTCCCACAGCATCTGAGACAGAGACAGACAGACAGAGAGACAGACAGCCTTCCCAAATTTGCCCAGGAGAGAGAAACTCACGCAGGAGGTATTCAGATGCATCCTGGTCATAGTCGGCATCATCGGGAAAATGGTTGATTTGCTTACAGATGCCCCTGAACGTCCCTGGGGAAGAAAGAAGAGAAAGAGGACCAAAATGCAGGACTTATTTCTGAGTAAGACTGCACCCCAAGGCCTTCCTTTCCTTTCCCTCTCCTCCTCCCCCTCTTGCCATGGTTCCTGCTATCGGGAACAGGCTCCATTTATTCTCTTTAATTCATTTTAATTTTATTTCCATCCTATTTAAAACAACGCTAATTTTAAAAAGTATAAAAGTATTTAAAGCATAACAATGTGAATAGCATGGTGTGGCGGTTTGAGTATTGGACTATGACTCTGGAGACTAGGGTTCAATTCCTAGCTTGGCTATGAAAACCACTGAGTGACATTGGGTGAGTCACACTCTCTCAGCCTCAGGGAAGGCAATAGCAAACCTTTCCAAGAAAACCCCATGACAGGTTTCCCTTAGAGTTGCCATAAATTGGGAATGACTTGGAGGTGCACAACGACAACAGCAGAAGCACAGTTTATGTCTCCCCCATTAAACATTTTCCCAGCAACAACCAGTTAAAGCAGACAAACTCTCTGGACAGATAGGCCTTTGCTTGATGGAGAGAGGAGAACAGAGAGGGACCCATCCTAGCGTCTTGTGGGAGAGAGGTCCAAGGCCTGGAAGCAGCCAACACAAAGGCCCTGACCGGTCATCTCCCTTCAGATGCTGCTGCCATTTGCCACCGTTGTTCTTGCAATGGAAACATCTTCTGGCCTTCCATTTTGCAAAAGATGCTTCCAGTGAGGTGGACATATCAAAAGTTGGTTACACAAAGTGATGTGGTTTGTACCAGAGAGGAAGGAAGAGGGAGCCATATTGGTCTCTTTTAGTTCAAGCTGGAGCATGTCCAAAGGTGGGTGACCAAAATGGTGAAGGGTCTGGAAACCATGAAGCCCTATGAGGAGAGACTTAGGGAGATGCTGGGGATGTTTAGCCTGGAGAAGAGAAGGTTAACAAGTGATGAGAGCCCTGTTTAAGCATTTGAAGGGAGGTCATATCGAGGATGGAGCAAACTTGTTTTCTGCTGCTCCAGGGAATAGGACACAATGGAGCCTCAATGGATGGAAGCTACAGGAAAAGAGATTCCATCTCAACATTAGGAAGATCTTCCTGAGAGTAAGAGTCCTTTGACAATGGAAGATGCTGCTGCCTCGGAGTGTAGTGGAATTCCCTCCTTTGGAGGTTTTTTTAAGCAGATAAAATGACCTTCAGGCTATGTGTGTAAGGTGTATATGAAACATAAATGAATTTTGTGCTTAGACATAGGTCCCATCTCCAAGTACATATATGCAAATACAGGTAATTCAAAATCTCCCTCCCCCAAAAAAGTCCAAAACACTGTTGACTCATGTTAAGCTTGTAGTCCTTTTCACACTTAACTGTTGTCAAGCCAGGGGTCCCCCATCCCATATTTGTGCAATTCCCACTTTTCCTGCCTGCGTGTGATACCCTACGCACCTCCTTGCTGGAAATGCTGGAATTGTGATGTCGGCCCAACTTGGGTTCATCCAGCTTGGGAGGTGAAATTGGCTCCCAAAGACGCTGGCGCTGTCCAGCCGGGCAACCTGGAAGCAATCCCAGTGATGGAATGGGTGCCCAGTCCAGGCAGTCAAGGAGTCTCCCCCACCCCCTGATTCCCGGGCATGTGTTCAAATCCTGCCACTTAATGATGGCTTTTGGGAGCAGAATGCTGATGGTGGAAAAGGAGGTGGGCAAGAGAGCTGCCTTCCCCAGCATGGCTTGGCCTGTTTTCATGATTTTTATGGCAATGTCAACTCTTTCTCTCTCCTCTCTCTCTCTCTTGAAAGCAGCTTCTCCATCTGAAGCTGCACCTCCTCCCTTTTATATGAAGCTGCTATTGCTATGAGGACCCAAAATGCATCTCTCATTTTGAATCCAGCTCAGTTCCCTTGAATTCACATTGCTGACTCCTTTCCAAAAGCAAGCCTCCTGCTCACCCTCCACTCCCAGATTTAACTCTTTCTTGCCTCCCATCGCCGGGACCCAGAAAGGCAGCTAAAATGTGGCCAAGTTAGCGGTGGGTTTGGTGGCCGCGGGTCAAAAGCCAAGTGGTAATAATCTCCTCTGGTCTGTTTGCACAAGGCTGATGTTTACTAGAGGGCAACAGCCTGAGACTTAACCGATGGCACAACCCATCAATGAAGGCATCTCCTTGAAACGATTCATACTTTCCTAAGGCATGGCTCCTCTGCTACAGCTAGCTCTCTGTTACGGGAGGAAAATGAGTTATCACCCCTTGCAGGCCAATATCCCATTTGGCACTGATGGAAAGCAATGCTCCAGTAGTGGACTTAATGCTGGAGGTCTGAGGGATGCTCCCTTCTTTGCTCTTTTCTCCAGAAGGCAAAGAACTGGTTGTGGCAGCAGGGCCTTTCAATGGGTGTGCTTTACTGTTATCCTTACTATGCTCTCCTATACATGTTCTTAAAAGTTTTAATACAGGTTGAGTCTTTCTTATCCAGAATTCCAAACTCCAAAATAATTCCAAAATTGTCCACCTAGGTGCCTGCAAAAAATACCTCCCCTTACCATCTTAACTAAGGACAGGAACATCCAAATGCAGGCATCTGACTAACATCTCCAATTGCTTTTTCTCCTGTTTGGTTTGTAACTTCTTGCCTGATGAAGAAGAAGCCCATGGAGCTTCGAATGCTTGCAACAAGGATATTGTGCATTTAGGATGGCCAATAAAGGTATCATTGATGGATTGTTGTTTGAATTTGCTAAATGGCCAACACAACTACCCCTGAATGTAAATCAAATAGGTTAGGAGTGAAGCCACGATTGAAACCACTTCTCTCTAGGACTCAGTCTTAATGACTTCAATGACAGTTTAACTCACTAGTGAAGAAGATTCTATTTAATTGTCTTCTTAAAGCAGAAATACACAATTACTCAATAAAACCTTAATATATATTCAGAGAGGTAGCTTTAATTAGACGGTTGGTACACACTCAGCAATTATTCTGAACTGTTTTCAAATTAATTTTCATTTCATCCAGAAGTGGGGCCCTTTGCATTTATATCCAGATTCCTTGTTCAAATTCCTCACTTTTTATATTCACAGACTTTCTCTAGACTTCGAGAGAGGCAGACCTCAGAGAAAGAGAATGAAGGAAAATGATCCCTTCCCTTCAGGCAAAAGCAAACTCTGGAGTAATTGCTGTTTTATGTGGAATTCAGGAGGGAAGCTGGAGCAATGTAGTGCAGAGGTTTGGGTGTTGCACTAGGATTCCCAGAGAGCAGGGTTCAAATCTCTGCTCAGCCATGGAAACCCACTGGATGATCTTGGCTGAGTCACACACTCTCAGCCCCCCAAAAACCCATGATAGGTTTGCCATAGGTAGGGTCACCATAAGTCAGAAATGACTTGAAGACACGCAACAGCAACA